CATCATCATCATCATCATCATCATCATCATCATCATCATCATCATCATCATCATCATCATCATCAAGTGTCAGATCTGCGACAGACACCGGTGATCATGATATTAATACCTGTGCTTGGATGCCAATTTCTTGTTTAAAAAAGCTAATATCATCCGTATCTGTCTCCGTCAATCATCAGTTTCGGCCTTCCAGGCATGTAGTTTGGATTAGTAGTTACAGAAAAGTAGAACTTTAAAAATTGTAATTCTATACGGCTTCTGTTACCACGGCAATAGTTATATGATATTAAACAATGCTGTATGCCTATTTTTTAACATAACGTAACAATATATACACTACATAAATATAAAAGTACTTAGGCTCAAATGTAGAAAAAGGCTCATAAAAATGTAAAACACTACTTTGAAAGCATGAACCCATGCACGGCCATCTCTCAACCCATCCATTGGTTTATTATTCGTTTATTCTCTCCTTTTGGATGAAGTGACCTCATAGGCCTACTACTAATAATGATGATATAATTTTCCCACAGCTGCGAGTGTTCAGGCCATTCTTTGTGACTTTGAACCTTCCTTACTCCGTGATCAATGGTGAGCAGCTGGCCCTGCAGGCTATTGTGTTCAACTATCTCAACGACGATGCTCAGGTAAGGAAAACGTTAAATAAAAGAACACTTTACTTACTTAACCCTAACTGTACGTCATGTTTTACTATAGTATCCACACGACGTAAGGAATTCTGTGCCACCATTTAACCCTATCCGTACCTCGTGTTTTACTGTCGTATCCATATGACGTGGGGAACTCTGTGCCACCACTTTCCAAAGTATGTGTTGTTGTTGTTGTTATTATTGTTGGTGTGGTAATTGATGTTGTTGCTGTTTTAATACTTCTGAGGCGTTGTTCCTGTCTCTGCGTGCGTTTATTTGTCAAGCCCGAAACCCTATCAGTACGTCGTGTTTTACTATCGTATCCATACGACGTGGGGAACTCCGTGCCACCACTTTCCAAAGAGGAAATTTACTCGTCAATCCGATCCGTACGCTTAGCCTAGCAGTGTGTCAAAATGATTTTTTGTGAAAAACTAAAAGTTTCAAAGAGATATTCACACTAGAAGTATTCTAAAATGTGAAGAATACAACTCCGGGGATACAAAATGACCGCTTTACTTAACCTTATCCCAACACCCCTGGGGTCATATTTTTGTACCACTCGGGTACATAGAGGGCCGTAAAAATGTTACAAAAAAACAACAAAAACAACCAATACTCTTGATGATTGTACCTTCTCATTGTTTCTTGTATTGCTCGTTTACAGATGTGTCTGATGGAGTGCATGTTCTTTTGTTTGTTTTCTCTTCAGGTTCGTGTGACTCTGGCTCAGTCTAAGAGCTTCTCTGTGCTGGCTGAGGAACACGGACTGGAGGTGTTGAAGCAGGAGGACACTGTGCAAGACGTGCTGGTGAGTGGGAGAGAAAGAGGGAGAGAGAGAGAGAGAGAGAGAGAGAGAGAGAGAGAGAGAGAGAGAAAGAGAGAGAGAGGGGGAGATGGGGAGAGAGAGAGAGAGAGAGAGAGAGAGAGAGAGAAAGAGAGAGAGAGAGGGAGATGGGGGGGGGGGGAGGCGAGAGGGAGAGAGAGAGAGAGAGAGGAAGGAAGGAGAAGAGAGAGAAAGAATAATAAGTCTGTATACATTATTATTATTATTATTATTATTATTATCATTATTATTATTATTATTATTATTATTATTATTATTATTATTATTATTATTATATTATTAACGTTAAAGAGGAAAAGAAAGAATAATCAATTATACTGTTGATAATGGATGAAAAGGGCGACACAAAAAATGATGCTTCATAAATAGCTAGAACGACCAACATAGATGAATACAGATGAACTGTACTATGAACGTAGGATGAACAAAATAAAAATAACAGGAACTAACTTAATAAAGAAACATTACGTTCAAATCTCACTTTTGAAGAAACATTGCTGTGTTCATTGAGTAGCTCTGTTTTTCTGCAACGGCGTATATCATCCAGTTGGGTTTTATTTCTCAGGCAGAATGAAACCAGCTGCCTTCTAGATATTTTACGATGTTGATCTGTGGAGATACAAAACATATCCATTCGTTATTTTTATTTTTAAGATTAAAATAATACAGCGGTCCTATTTTTTAAAATAGAAATTTAACAATCAAGTTCTTGTGTTAAGTATAACTCTCATCTTAAATTGTAATAGAAATTGAAATCCATCCACATTTTTCATTTGCTGCTCCAGAAAGGAGTCTAACTTTCTGTTTTGTAAAAGTATCAAGAATGTGTATTACTTTTATATGCCAATGATACGTACAAGGAATCTGTGTCGATAGTTCCTTAAACCACCTACTCCAACAAACCAGTAAAAACATAACGACCATTGTCTGCCCACACGATTAAGACCGTGGCGTCGGTGGCCTAGTGGTTACGCTACCCGACGCGTAATCTTGAGGTTGTGGGGTCGGGGGTTCGAGCCAGAGCTCGACCCGACGTTGTGTCCTTTGAAGAGGCACTTTACACAAAATTCCCACTTGGCTCGGTTCTTTCGGAGATGGACTGCGTTAAACTTTGAGGACCCCCTTCTAAGCTAACCTAATAGTGATGATGATCATCATCATCCGGTGCCTTGCCGACTGGCGTGTACGATCATGGACCTCCACTTCACTCTGTCTTACGTTGCAGAAACGATGTCTGTTGTTCTTGCTGCTCCTAGCAATGTTGTCTTCTTGTCCAGTATCCTTTCCCCCTGTCTGCCCCTGTTGATAGAGGCGCTAAATCCATACCATTTTCCCCACAGATTAAAGCAGGAGAGGGGATGTCTGTGTTTTTCCCAATCGTCCCTCACGAACTCGGCAAGATCGACATAGAGGTGAAGGCACAGACCACACGCGCTGCCGACGCCGTGAGGAAACAGCTTCTCGTGGAGGTGAGTACATGTGCGTGACGTCTTGTCTCATCATGACACCGTTGTGGAGGTGACGGCATATGTATGATGTCATGTCTCATCATGACACCGTTAGGAGACAAGTTCTGGGATATTTCGAAATTTCAAAATTCCGTGCCCTTTGCCTTTAGTTAGTTGTACTCTTTGAGAAAATATACGACATATATACGGTATATATATATAATAATATATAATTATATTATATCAAAAGTACCCATGTATATTTGTAAATATATGTTATATACAAACATACTTGTGTTCTTTTTGAGATATTTACTAAAGACTATAACATAATATTAATTATTTTTTCCTTTCTTCTTTAATTATATTTATTTGTATATTTTAGCTCTTTGCACAATACAGTACCTTTATCTAAGTACAAGATACAGACGCTCTTATGAGTACTTGTTTACCTTTTACCATGTTTTCTTCTTTTTTATTCTGTGACCTTTAATGGCGTCGTTGCATCTCAGTGGGGGATAGAATCTTGTAAAACATTTTTTTAAAAACATTATCTGCAATCACTGTCCCAAAACATTTAACCCTAAGTCTAAATGAACATTGAGGTCAAATAATATGCTGTTGAACTCGGGACTCGGGGGTCACTAGTTTTATTCTCTTTTATCTGATGACCTTTAATGACGCCAGTGCATCTCATCGGCTGATACATTCTTGGAAAACATGAGGAGAATCTGTAGTCATTTCCCCAAGACGTTTAACAATAAGATACGATAGTTTGAATGACCGTTGTGGGTCAAATGATATTATGCTATTAAACTCGGGACTCGAACTCTATCCCTCCCCACCCCCTCCACACTCACCCTCAGCCCGAGGGAGTCGCCAAGGAGTTCAACATCCCAGTCCTGGTGGAGCTGACCAAAGAAACGCCGTCGTTCACCAAGATCGTGGATTTGTCCATGCCGCCCAATGTCGTGCCTGGCTCGGAGCTGATGAGAATCTCTGCTGTCGGTGAGTTGAGTGCTGTAGGGTGTTAGTTTAAGTAAGAGTTTTACGTCACTTGCAACACAATAAGGGCATATAATAATAGGTGCAGAAGATCAGAGGTGTTACAAGGGAGTAAAAAACACGAAAAAGAAGGAGGGGGGATAGAGACGATATAATTTTTATAGGAATTAAAGGGGTATAATGTCCTAACAGAAAGACCTGCCAAGGCCAACCCATGCTGAAAGCGGAGGTACAATATCCTACCAGAAAGAAAGCGATACTCGATAAATCAAAGGTCTTCCCACTCCAGTCTCCTGAGAGCGACAGCGAAGCGCCTAACCGCTACACCAGAGCCGGCCGGGGCAGTGTGATGGGTTGAGTCAAACAACATGTGGGTCTTTCTATTGGAACTTACCTGACATAAGATATTACAGAAACGGCGGGCAGGATAGAAGCGGCGAGCTTCAAAACCGATATTCTCAAGATTTATATTTCGCGACTTTAATTAATCGTTTTTCTTCGTGTACTCTTTAAATGGATGGATGGGCGTGTGCAGGAATGAATGAATGGATGGATGAATGAACGTTCCAGTGGAAAGGTTGTAGTTAAATGAAAGTGACTATCGTTCGTATAATTATGTGCATACGGAGCTATACAGTACGGTAATTGGGTGAATAAATAAGTTGAAGATTGACTGAACATACCGGGAATATGATCAGAAGTGAACATTAATGAATAAACGAATGCAGTAATGAAAATATGAAAAGAAACATTTCAGACTTTACGTTTATATTGTCTCTTAACAGCTTTTGGGGTCATAAACAGAGGAATGCATTGATAAATAAGTGAACAACTGAGCAAACGTAGGCACAGAGACAAAATCGACAAAAAGAAGGTCTGAAGAGATATAGAATCATAAAGAAAGGAAGCAAGAAAGAAGGAATCTACTATCATTTTATGTTGTGTGTACATGGCCGAGTGGTTAGGCTACCAGATCCGTAATGGTGAGATTTCGAATTTCGGGAGTTCGAGCCTCAGCTCGATCCGACGTTGTCTATGGGAAAGACACTTTTCACGAAATTCCCATTTTGGTGCGGTCGTTTCTGAGATTGGCGTTAAACTCGGAGGTCCTACCTTTTACATACCCCGCCTCTTCAACAACCCAACAGTGTTGATAAGAGCATTAAACCTATACTATTTCACCATTTCACTCTTTCACCTTGTCGCCATTTCACACTTTCACATTTTCACTGTTTCACCATTTCACACTTTCACACTTGCACATTTTCACTGTTTCACCATTTCACCATTTCACCCTTTCACCATTTCACCCTTTCACACTTTCACCCTTTCACATTTTCACACTTTCACACTTTCACCCTTTCACCCTTTCACCATCTTGTTATGTTGTTTATCTCCCCTGTTTCCAGGTGACCTGATGGGACCTAGCATTGCCGGACTTGACGCTCTACTGCGCATGCCCACCGGATGTGGCGAGCAGACCCTCCTGGGCCTGGCCCCGGATGTATACATCACAGACTACCTGAGCGCCGTGAACAAACTGCACGGAGACATTGCCGACAAGGCCCTGAGCTTCATGGAGAGCGGTAATCTCCCTTTGCACGATTTGAAACTGAGAGGATGCTAATGACGTCATTAATTTTGATCATTTGCTCCATTTTTATTTCAAGAATGTATTGGTCTGCTACAAAATTAAAAAAGAGACCAAAAAAAGCCCAATTAATTCAGTTTTAGCTTAAGTGTGAGTTTTGCGGCACATTCAACATTATTAAATCACATATATTATTATGCTTCAGATTATATGTGTAAAAGGAGAGTAGCATACAAAGACAAGAAGGAGGAGAGATAACGGCTGTAGATTTAGAATACGAAAAAAAGGAGCAAAATAAAATTAAATACAAACTCACATAATATTTGACTCTAAAATCGATAATAACACATAATTTTAGAAAGACGTATAATTTCCCCAAACTGGGTTTTTTTTGTTTTGTTTTGTTTTTTTGGAGGGGTGGTTGTTTGTTTTTGGGGTTTGTTTTTTTACGTCATTAAAAAAAAATTCAATGCAATGTTTTGTTGTTTTTGGGTTTTTTGCAGGCTACCAGCGTGAGCTGACCTACAAACACGACGACCACTCTTTCAGCGCCTTCGGGAACAACGACCCCTCTGGAAGCATGTGGTGGGTGAGGGGGGGGGGGATACAGCAGTCAGTTGTTATGTTATACGGGGTGCCCCACTACGGCAGGGATCGGCCGATTGGCGGGCCGATCACCCGACTCGAACGCCTCAAAAACAAACGTGTTTGTTTTCAGTTTCAGGCGATTGAGTCGAGCGATCGGCCCGACCCAGCTGTAGTGGGCGTCCTGTATTAGTGGCGTTGGTGGTCTAGTGGTTATACCGGGTTTCCATTGCGGATGAGATCGGGTCTGGTCGGGTCGGTATGATCGCTCTATTGGTCGCCTCAAAACAAACGCGTAGTTTGGTTTTGAGGCGACGAGTCGGGCGCGATCGGCTTGTGCAACGATAGCCGATTTATTCCCTCAATCTGGCTAGCAAACCGACACGATCCACCAATGGGCACATCGTATTAGGCTACCGGACTTGAGGTAATCGTGAGATTGCGGGTTCGGGGGTTCGAGCCTGAGCTCGGTCTGATGTTGTGTCCTTGAGAAAGACACCTTACATGAATTTCCCATTTGTCTCAGTCCTTTCGGAGATGAACGTTTAACTCAGAGGTCCCGCCTCTTTGATAATCTAACACTGCTGATAGAGGCGTTAAACTTATTCTCTTTCACCATGTTCACAACCGTTGTTAAAAAAAGACAAGGTTTGATAATTAGACGTTTGCGGGCTCTATTATGTGGTTTGCTCCTTATTTTTGACCAAATATCTACCGTCCTTACTTATGTCTCCTCTTCCTTTTCTTTGTGTGTTGTTCTCTTGTATCACTTCACCTCTTATCTTTAGCGCCTACATTATGACTTAGTGCCGTAAACATTTCGCTGAAACAACTAGAAAAGAGTTGGTAATTGGAAGTTTCCCGTGGTAGATCGTTCTTCTTTCTTGTGTCCCGTTTTTTTTAATTCTTTTCTTACTTTTGTGTCAGACTTTTAGACCAGTTATACATGGCTTTTAGCGTGCGTTGTGTTTCTCTCTAATTCACAAGATCAACGTAAATCGTGAGATTGTGAGTTCGGGGGTTCGAGCCTCAGTTTGGTCCGACGTTGTGTCCTTGGAAAAGGCATTTTACACGAACTTCCAACTTGGCTCGGTCGAATCGGAGACGGACGTTAAACCAGGAGGTCCCGCCCCTAAATAACCTAATAATTTTGATAGGGGCGTTAAACCTATACCATTTTTTTCAACGTAAAAACCATTTATTGAGTTGACAACTCCAGAAAAAACTTGTTATTATATTTATTATGTTCAATTATTGAGCATCCCTTTGTCGTGAAATAGTACGATTGTCTGAATGTCTCCTTACACACAAATCACAATAGAAACAACAACAACAACAACAACAACAACAACAACAGCAGCAGCAACAATATTATCCTCAGTAAAAATAACAACAATATCAACAACAACAGCAACAACAACAACAACAACAACAACAACAACAACAACAACAGCAGCAGCAACAATATTATCCTCAGTAAAAATAACAACAATATCAACAACATCAGCAACAATCTCATCATCAGGAAATGTTCTTATTATCAACAATAACAGCAAAAACTACAACAACAGAAACTACAATTACGTTCAATTCTGTCCACTCCTTCAGGCTTAC